ATAAACCTTCTCTTCTTTGCAGTCATACCCAAACACGGAAAAGGCTATGGAAGTAAATAGCAGACAGATATGCCTTGAAAGCGGTTCGCTGTCAAAACTGACGTCTTTCCAAGAACTGCTTCAGCGAAGCCGACCCCAAATGTAATGCCATGCATTTCTGCGCCCTGGAGAGGTCGCCCCAATCTCACCGTCAAAAGACTGTATTTTAACGACACACACAGTGCTACATTTATCTGGCGAGGTAAACGGATGCGTACTTTTGCTTGGGCAACTTCGCACCTCATCGTAAATCGAAAGCTTCCCTTCAAATCAAATTTTTCTACGTGGAAGCCTATTTCATTTCATTTGGAAATGGCAAAAATATAATCACAGACAGAGAGAAAAAACAACATTTGACAAAAAGGAAAAAAAAAAAAAACAATATTGAAGAAAAAATCTTCGAACATGAAAAGAGATATTTATTGAAAACTGATAGCAGATGATATGTAATAGTTTGGACTGACATAACAAAAACAACGCAATATTAAAAGAAAATTAAATTATTAATTACATTTAAACAAAGTCGGTGATTTAAGGCAGCCCATACTGAAATTAAAATATAAAAAAAGCAACTGCAAGAGGCAGGTGTCGACTATCTGAACAGACAGAAGAATATGCAATTTAATATATGCGAATGCCCTCAAATATATGTGAGATATTTCTTTATATATATATATATATATATATATATATATATATATATATATATATATATATATATATATACGTGTGTAAACACTTAGATGAGATAATATAAATACTAGTTGATTGACTCTGAAGAAAACAGGATAAAATAAATATAATATTTTTTTGAAATGAAGTAGTCGAAACAGTTCAATTATAAAAACGCGCATACGCGAACACACACACACATATATATATATATATATATATATATATATATATATATATATATATATATATATATATACAATACGGTTACAAAGTTTGAGGAACCCATGCTAATTTTTTTTTTTAAATTTACCTAAAAGTTGTTTATTATTTTAAATAAGAGAAACATTTTTATACATGGATAAAAAAAAGTGTGACATGATTTTTTATTAGAAGTTTTATTATGACAATGCTCTCCTCAAAATCGCCTCCTTTAGCCTTGATTTCTGCAGCACAAATTTTCGGCATTCGGTGCAAATTTTTTTATAAGTTTGATAATTGATTCCATCCTTTATTCAGTGACTCTAGGTGCACTTTTCTTTTCTTCTTTTCATTCTTCTGTTCCGTTCATCACATGCTAACTGTGGGGTAGCTTCAAACTTTTGAACTGCAGTTTACTTATATCTTAAAGAAAAATCCCAAACCGTTGGTGGGACAAAAGACCTAAATACCCTTGAACAAGAGAAAATCACAGCACATCACAGCAATAAAAAAAAAAGAAAAAAAAAACTAAAAACAAACTATGGCCCTAGTCTTAACCCGAGTTCCACGCTGACCCGGTCTTCAGAAGACTTGAATACTTAAATGCAATCTTTAAACTGTCGCCGCTGCATGTTGAACTCAATCTCCACTTTTCTGTTTACACACACTTTATACGTGGTATTCAACAATTTAGCCTATAAATCTAGCATATCATAAAGCTATTTTTTCATCATGCACATACACATACATAATATTCATGTGAGTTAAAGTTTTTGTGATGTCAGCGACAACTGGTTGCCACTTTTGTGATGTCAACGAATACTCATTTTCAATTTTGTAATGCTCGTTGTAGTAGAGACTTCGTAATCGCAGATACAACGATAGTAACGCCGTTGAACAATACTGGTGCCAGACGCCTTCGAATATCACTCGCACTAATAGTACTTGCTTGATAATAATCGTTCAAATAGTAATCCGTGTAGTGATCCGAATAGAGAAATAGTATAGTGAATAGAGTAGAGAATAGCGGTCCATATAGCAATAGAGGATAGACTAGAAATAGTGATCCTTTAGTAATAGAGGATAGACTAGAAATGAGATCTTATAGACGTTACTCAAATTTCTATATATGTTTTTCCTATCTGGTCACGTGATCCACTTAATTCAATAACGGGATCGCCTGTGTTTACTCACTGGCGATCTATGTTCAAACTCAAGTGTCGGCAGCGACATTTTATTCCTATATAACACAGATTGATGTTAACGTTTCGATTCCAAAGTTTCATAGGCGCACCTGTCAGTCCTCTCTTCAGCGGGTATCAGCAACAGTAAATCTAGCATTTTATATTTTTGATACCGAGCACTTTATAGTGAAAACTGCTTACCTTATATGTCTTTTCTCTCAATACCTCATTGACTGTGGGCATTTTGATCTTTATACTATCTTTGACGTAGCTATCTTAGAAATGATTAAATATATCTTAGTAGAATTCTCCGAGCTTTTTATAATACCATTGGACTTGAGCAATAAAAATGTATAATTACTTTCTACGCTCAACAGACGAATCGTGATGAAATCGATCACAAA